CTCACATACAAATACAGATAAACACACACATACGTACACACAGACACACGCAAAACCTACAATTAACCATACACACACTAATACATACTCAGAATCATGCGTATACAAACACGCCTACACATATATACATATCACACACACACACGCGCGCGCGCGATACATATATGATACATATCATATACACTTTATTTAATAATAAACAGACAATGCAATATAGATTATTAATGACATTGCGGGTGGCATATAAGCATGAACCTCAAACATTTTCGATCAAATGAATAGGGACTCTTTTAATGTTTCAGGACCTGTGGAAGTTGGTCACATAAATGAGCAGCCGAGTACGCTAAACTTGTTTTATATAAATCTATTCTATGTTTAGGCAAATGTAATAAATTTAGTCGCTTGCTGTTTGTAGGATTGGATTTAATCAATCGGAAAAGGTAGTCTGGAGTATTTTGAAATAACATTTTGTGAATAAATTTGGCCTTCTTAAAAATTAAGCGCTTACTAAATTTCAATAGTCTTTGGTGGTTACAGAGATTATTTTAATCGATATGTTTTCTACCTAAACCGGGTGTAAAGCACGATTTTGAAGGGAACTTTGTCTTTTAACACTGGATTTGGCGCAACTATCCCAAATTGTGGAACAATAGTCGACATGTGTTTGGATGTATGACGCGTAAAATACTTTTCTTGCCTCTTCATCTAGAAAATGCTGAATTTTGGCATTTTGGTAAACTTTTTGTGCTATTTTCTTAGTTGACACCAACATGAGCAAGCCAAGTTAAATGGCTGTCAATTGTAAGGTTGAATGTTTTGTGTTCCGTTACTTTAACAGTAGGTAATTTATCAATGTAGAGCTCAATTAGTGGCTTGTGGAATACTAATGTTTGTAACTTGTGACTGGTTGTTATAAGCATAGACTTCTTTTTATTTATGTTAATTTGCATGCGATTGCTATTGCTCCATTTACAAAGATTGTCTACTTCTTTCTGTAAAGAGCTTTTCAACTCTTTACGATTCTCTTTACTAGTATATATTGTACAATCGTCAACAAATAAATCGCATGTTATGCTAAGATATAATGGAAGGTCGTTAATATACGTGGAAAATAGTAATGGACATAGAATTGACCACTGTGGCACGCCTATATTTAACTGAGTGCATTTTGACAGGCGGTTGTTGAAGGATACAACTTGCTGTCTGTCTATCAGATAAAATTGACCGATTTAATTCGACTAAATTATCGTTAGTTTTCAATATTTTTAATTTAATATTTAGAATATCATGATCAATCATATCGAAGGCTTCCTTAAAGTCCACAAAAACTGCACCGCAAATCTTGACTTTGTTGATGTTAAAGTGCCATTTGTCTGTCATTTTTTTCATCGCAATATGGCAAGAGTACTTAGGTCTGAACCCTGATTGGCTGTCAACTATCAGATAGTTGCTATTCAAGTGCCGAAACGTTATTTTATGTATGTGTTTCTCCAATGGTTTGGATAGCGAGGACAGTAGAGAAATGGGTCTATAACTGCCAAGAGAACTGTTGTCAGCTGAGCCAGATTTGAGTGGAGGATAAACTTTTGAAATTTTTAATGAAAATGGAAAGTAGCTCCTAGCAAGGCACTAGTTATTAGGGCTGTACCGAATATTCGCTTCGTATTTGCTTCGGAGCCTAATAGTGAACCTAATGACTATTCGGTATTCGGTAGAATAGTTGCGGTCGGGCCGAATACGAATAGTAGTTACCTTACACCTGCTTCTGCATCCACGGCCTTAATGCTGACAATATGGAACGATTGGTTTTCTTGAAAGCTAATGCAGCTTTCATGCATTAACTAAGCTGTCAGTGACAAATATCCAAGTTTAGTTACTTGTTATAATACTTAGGATTCTTTCAATCCTAGTTATTAGTTAACACAGACTGACTGAAGGATGCAAAACATAAAATGTTTTTAAATGTTTACTATTCTGTGCGAATACTAACTAGACCTGGAAAGAATATAAAATCCGGCTACATCCAAGTCGATAATATGAAAATCAAACGAACGGAAACATATAAGTACTAGGGTGCAAACCTCAACTGATCCAACATGCTGAGAGAAGAAATACAATCTATAATACAATCTAGAAATAAAGTATACTATTCCCTTCAACATCTCTTTTCTGTCTCGCAACACCAAGATCAAAACATATAAACGTTGATAAGACCAGTCGTTTTATTTGGCTCTGAAACGAAGCAGAAATAAAAAAAAGATGAGGCCTTATTACAGGTTTTCGAAAACATCCTTACGAAAAATCTTTGGACCCATCAAAGACGCTAACAGCGGGGAATGGAGAATGAGAAGCAACAACGTAACACATAATCTGTTTACGTCACTATTGATCACTGGCATCATGAGAGCTAAAGACTAAAATGGTTGGGGCATATTGAAAGAATGTCAGACGACAAAGAAGTAAAAACTGTATACACCTGAGAGAGGAATGGGCGTAGACCACGAGACAGACAAAAAAGAAGTTCGAGAAAATGTCCAGCCAGACCTGCAAACAACTGGTGTCACAAACTGTGAAGAGAAGGCCAGCCAGAGAGATAAATGGAGACGAGTGATATCTGCAGCAATAAACCTCAAGGGCTCAGAATGCTAAAGAAGAAGATGACTATTCTGTGCTACTTTATGTGAAGTAAAAGTTCAGTGTACATTTGACATTATGAATGTGTGTGTGTGTGTGTGTGTGTGTTTTTTTTTTTTTTTTTAGATATATTTTATACACTATTCGTATTTGTATTCGTATTCGGCGGAATAGTTGGTCCCGTTATTCGTATTCGGCCGAATAGTGAAAATCACTATTCGGTACAGCCCTACTAATTATATATGAATGCTTCAAGGTACCATTTCCTGACAACAAGGCAGAGACAAACCTGGCAAATGTGGTCACAGACATAGAAGGTGCGGTGGCTATGAAAGCACATAGGGTTGGAGAATCTGCTACAGAAAGAGACTTTCATGCGTACGGTGATGAGAGTTACGTCCTGTAAAGGACGTGCTGATTTATGACAATGAAGACGATGTAGTCGATCTCTCTGGCCTAGCCTTTATCACTCCAAGATATCCGGTTCAATTACAGCTGCATGCGATTTTGCAGCAGACCGCTTTGCGTTGATTTTGTCAATACTTTGTAGCGCTGACCGTTTAATGACAATGACAAACTACTGAAATTAGATTGCCTAGTAAACGAAACAGCCACCAAATATGGGGTTGTTTCTGCAAGGTCCTAGAATGGGTAGGCAACTTACTTTATTACTTCATTCAGACATCAGCTATGATCTCCTGGCAGTGAACTAGTTCAGCCTGTACAAGGCTGTCAGAAACTCGTTAATTTAGTGAACACCACAAACAAGCTGAACAGAACACAGATTGTTTCGGAGTAAATTACTTCAGGTTTTTAAGCAACATTAAATCGCCCGGTAGGTAGTTCTGGGCAGACATTGGCCAATGTCCTTCCATACAAAACTGTTTTCCGCACCGAATGTAGAGTACATTGTAGTTACGTCTGGTAGGTTCAAAAGTATTGATAAATTATGTAAGGTCTTTAAACGTTATAAATATGATATGTAGGCGATTCAGGGCACACATACATCGATGGCTTTCCATACAAAACTGTTTTCCAAAGTTCGCTTAACATAGAGTTCCGTATCATAACGGCTGGTAGTTTCAACAGTACTGAAGAATTATTAAAGGTCTTTAAATGACATAAATCTATCACGTAGGCGATTCTGGGCACATATACATAGATGGCTTTCCGTACAAAACTGTTCTCCACACTTCGCCTAATGTAGAGTTCCATGTAATAACATCTGGTAGATTTAACGGTATTTTAGGGTAAAATCTCGTATAAAGATGAATGCCGTAGTTCGTTGAAATGTTGTAATGTTCCTTAAAAACTCTCAGAATGTAGGTTAGGTCTGGGTTCACGAATCTGTTCCCGACGATTCTGTTTAAAGAGAGAGAATATTAAGTTAGAAATTAATAGACTAGGGTCAAGAATACTTTTCAACATTTGTGATTTAAGATTTGTACAAGCAAATACTGGGGACCCGCCGTGGTGAAGCGGCTAGACGCTCGTCTTCGGATCCGAACTTCGTGGGTTCGGGTCTCGATAGAGCCACATTTTTTGTTTAAAAAAGGACCTTGGCTCTTAGGTCAACAGCAAAGTCCTAGGAAGTAAAAGCGCCCTTCGCGATCTGCATCAACCACCAGTGCCGATTTGTCTATAAAATATAAGTCTAGCCCTACATGCCCAGTAGGTCTGAAGACAAGGAATGGGGATCCTCACAAAAAAAGATAACTTATTTCTTGCTTTAAAATTTTTCAATAATTTAAAAAAAAATGAATAAATTTAATAGAAAGTCAATGAGTTAATAACTGCAAACCAATGAATAAATCGTCCTCTTTTAAACCTTTGCCGGCTATACACGGCATATAAACTCTGGTGGAAAGTTCCGACTTTTCGTCCACTTCCAGACTTTGGTCTTGTTAACAAAAATATTTGAGTTGCGAATGCCCATCAGTAAATAGATCTGTCTCCTTTGCATGCAGTCTGTTGGTTCCTCACTTGTCAGGCACATGTACTCGGTCTTCGGAGGAATATGGATACATACAAGGCAAATAAATGATTACCAAATTAAATGAATATCAACAACAAAAACTATTTAGAAAACTAGTAACTTATTAGATCAACAAAAGACTGCATATAGAAGCGAATGAATATATTGATTTATGAATTAATTCAAACATGAATAAATCCATATATAAATAAATTAATTCACGCAATACTCAATGTTTAAATTTATGCACGAATGAGTGAATGCATTCATATTGAATAAATGAATATTGATGAATCAATCAATCAGCGAAGGAACTAACGAATGAACAAATCAGAAATTCAATGAATGCGCCCACAAACTCACTTGATTAACGACGTGTTTTGTCTCGCCAGTACCCAGGGTATCACGGTCGAGTGGTAGCCCCACTTCTTGGGATTGTAATATCGATACTGTTTGTACCACAGGTCGATAAATGCGGCGCCGGGCCGTGCCAGCATCATCGAGTTGGCCAGGTTGTTCCTGTTCTCGTGACTCATGACAAACGACTCGTTTTGTAGCTCCCAAACATCCCTGACTAGAATCTGGTCGTTGTCGAGGTAGATGCCTCCGAGAGCTGAGAGAGCCAATAATATATTATTACAAAACAGTTTTTATGATATCGCCACATTGCACAAATCTTTATTTCGTAGTAGAGACCATCCTCGACGTCTTTTACCTATAGTAAAAAGGCCATCGATGATGTCCTTAGGGATTGTGCCGCCCTCCATTCTACAAGTCTGACCTGGCGGAACCACCATATTAGATGGATATATATTAATATTTTCGACTGTCCATGTTTGGGTTCTTGGTCGTCAGTTCTGATCAGTAGTGAGGGTTAAATTTATATTCATATACGTGCGGCTCGCTAGCTTAGTCGGTTAAACCGGACGTCGGGTTCTGGTTCACGCCCGGGGGTAGGCAGAAAAGCCACATTTCTCCCAGATTTACGGTATCTATCATGGAATCAAGGCCGAAGGGCTGCGATATCAATATTACCGAGCCAAAGAGTTCTCATGATTTCTGGATATATTTTTTTTAAAAAATAAAGGTATATTTATATACATTTAAGTAGACAAATCTGGGGATGGGGGAGCGTGCGGGGGGGGGGGGGGGAAGGGGGGTAAGATTTTTAAAAGTTGGAAGTTGAAGAGAAAAAGTGCACGTCGTAGTAAAACTGTTTGAAAGGTGTCTTCTTTTTCTGTTTTCTATCCCCCAGTGGGTATGGGCCCTCAACCAAATCACGCCAAGATGTTCTAATTTCACGCCAAGATGTTCTAATTTCACGCCAAGATGTTCTAATTTCACGCCAAGATGTTCTAATTTCACGCCAAGATGTTCTAATTCCTCTCTATCATGCAGCTCTCCCATGTCATCCCTACCTATTTAACTTGCCTCTCTAGCATGCAGCTCTCCCATGTCATCCCTACCTATTTAACTTGCCTCTCTAGCATGCAGCTCTCCCATGTCATCCCTACCTATTTAACTTGCCTCTCTAGCATGCAGCTCTCCCATGTCATCCCTACCTATTTAACTTGACTCTCTAGCATGCAGCTCTCCCATGTCATCCCTACCTATTTAACTTGCCTCTCTATCATGCAACTCTCCCATGTCATCCCTACCTATTTAACTTGCCTCTCTATCATGCCTCTCCCATGTCATGCCTTCTAATGCAACTCTCCCACGCCTCTCTATCATGATGTTACTAAACTTTCTATCATGCAACTCTCTCCATGTCATCCCTACCTATTTAACTTGCCTCTCTAGCATGCAGCTCTCCCATGTCATCCCTACCTATTTAACTTGCCTCTCTAGCATGCAGCTCTCCCATGTCATCCCTACCTATTTAACTTGCCTCTCTAGCATGCAGCTCTCCCATGTCATCCCTACCTATTTAACTTCCCTCTCTAGCATGCAGCTCTCCCATGTCATCCCTACCTATTTAACTTCCCTCTCTAGCATGCAGCTCTCCCATGTGCCTCTCTATCATGCAACTCTCCCATGTCATCCCTACCTATTTAACTTGCCTCTCTATCATGCAACTCTCCCATGTCATCCCTACCTATTTAACTTGCCTCTCTAGCATGCAGCTCTCCCATGTCATCCCTACCTATTTAACTTGCCTCTCTATCATGCAGCTCTCCCATGTCATCCCTACCTATTTAACTTGCCTCTCTAGCATGCAACTCTCCCATGTCATCCCTACCTATTTAACTTGCCTCTCTAGCATGCAGCTCTCTCATGTCATTATTAACTTGCCTCTCTAGCATGCAACTCTCCCATGTCATCCCTACCTATTTAACTTGCCTCTAGTATGCAGCTCTCCCATGTCATCCCTACCTATTTAACTTGCCTCTCTATCATGCAACTCTCCCATGTCATCCCTACCTATTTAACTTGCCTCTCTATCATGCAGCTCTCCCATGTCATCCCTACCTATTTAACTTGCCTCTCTAGCATGCAACTCTCCCATGTCATCCCTACCTATTTAACTTGCCTCTCTAGCATGCAGCTCTCTCATGTCATCCCTACCTATTTAACTTGCCTCTCTAGCATGCAACTCTCCCATGTCATCCCTACCTATTTAACTTGCCTCTAGTATGCAGCTCTCCCATGTCATCCCTACCTATTTAACTTGCCTCTCTATCATGCAACTCTCCCATGTCATCCCTACCTATCTCCCATGTCATCCCTACCTATTTAACTTGCTCTCTAGCATGCAGCTCTCCCATTAATCTCTAGCATGCAACTCTCCCATGTCATCCCTACCTATTTAACTTGCCTCTCTAGCATTCTCCCATGTCATCCCTACCTATTTAACTTGCCTCTCTAGCATGCAGCTCTCCCATGTCATCCCTACCTATTTAACTTGCCTCTCTAGCATGCAACTCTCCCATGTCATCCCTACCTATTGCCTCTCTAGCATGCAGCTCTCCCATGTTCCCTACCTATTTAACTTGCCTCTCTAGCATGCAAACTCTCCAATGTCATCCCTACCTATTTAACTTGCCTCTCTAGCATCAACTCTCCCATGTCATCCCTACCTATTTAACTTGCCTCTCTATGCACTTTCCCATGTCATCCCTACAGTGCTGATTTCTTGGCTCTCTAGCTTCCTATACAACTTTTTGTCTTCTTTTAGGGTGGTGCTGATTTTAGTTTATTGTTATCAAGTTTTCTCAGCGTCTCCATATTTTCCTTAACAGTGCTGCTATTATATTATTCCTTCTCCATACAACAGTGCTGAATTCCCCCAGCTGCTCCTCCTGTTTCCTCTCCATACAACAGTGCTGATTTCCTCTCCATACAACAGTGTTGATTTCCTCTCCATACAACAGTGTTGATTTCCTCTCCATACAACAGTGCTGATTTCCTCTCCATACAACAGTGTTGATTTCCTCTCCATACAACAGTGTTGATTTCCTCTCCATACAACAGTGCTGATTTCCTCTCCATACAACAGTGCTGATTTCCTCTCCATACAACAGTGTTGATTTCCCCTCCAACAACAGTGCTGATTTCCTCTCCATACAACAGTGTTGATTTCTCTCCATACAACAGTGTTGATTTCCTCTCCATACAACAGTGTTTTTCCTCTCCATACAACAGTGCTGATTTCCTCTCCATACAACAGTGCTGATTTCCTCTCCATACAACAGTGTTGATTTCCTCTCCATACAACAGTGCTGATTTCCTCTCCATACAACAGTGCTGATTTCCTCTCCATACAACAGTGCTGATTTCCTCTCCATACAACAGTGTTGATTTCCTCTCCATACAACAGTGCTGATTTCCTCTCCATACAACAGTGCTGATTTCCTCTCCATACAACAGTGCTGATTTCCTCTCCATACAACAGTGCTGATTTCCTCTCCATACAACAGTGCTGATTTCCTCTCCATACAACAGTGCTGATTTCCTCTCCATACAACAGTGCTGATTTCCTCTCCATACAACAGTGCTGATTTCACTACAGAATAAACAAAAACTCAAGTTTAATATTAGTTTCAATTTATTTTGACCTCCACAAATTTACTTATCCTAAGAAAGCTACTCTTGTCTTTTGTATTCGTATTTTAAAATCTCTGTCAGTTCCCCATCTTCATCTACATCACTGCCCGATAACGTGTACCATCAGCTGCCGGCCTTGAACTAGAATACCATTACGAGAAACATATTACTATTTGCCTGATTTATTTTTATTATCTTTGTCTTTCCCTTGTGGATTTTCAGACCTAGCTGCTGTGATCTCGCATCAAGTATATTTAATTTATCTTGCGTCTGATTCCGTGAATAGGACAGAAGAGAAATATCATCAGCGAAGTCCGGATCATCAAGCTATTTTGTATAGAGTCGGCTGAATCCTATTCCTGGTTTCAGCAGTTGCTGTCTTCCTACTCAAATCTATTGCCAGCAAAAATAGGAGAGGTGACAAAAGACATCCCTGTCGCACGCGTGTTTTTATTTCACATATATCTGTTAGCTTTCCTTCAATAGGAACGAGACGTTTCATGTCTTTATATTTTGTCTTTACTAAGATAATAATTTTCTGTGGGATTTCATTGTGTCCCGGTAATTTCTAGAGACATTTAATATCAGCGGTATGAACAGTTTTTTCAAAGTCGATGAATCCAATGTAAAGTGGTGAATTCAGTTCAATGCTTTGCTTTATTACCAAACGTGATGTTGCTATCTTGTCCGTACAGGATCAGTTTGGCCCAAAACCTGTCTTGTCCGTACAGGATCAGTTTGGCCCAAAACCTGTCTTGTCCGTACAGGATCAGTTTGGCCCAAAACCTGTCTTGTCCGTACAGGATCAGTTTGGCCCAAAACCTGTCTTGTCCGTACAGGATCAGTTTGGTCCAAAACCTGTCTTGTCCGTACACGATCAGTTTGGTCCAAAACCTGTCTTGTCCGTACAGGATCAGTTTGGCCCAAAACCTGTCTTGTCCGTACAGGATCAGTTTGGCCCAAAACCTGTCTTGTCCGTACAGGATCAGTTTGGTCCAAAACCTGTCTTGTCCGTACAGGATCAGTTTGGCCCAAAACCTGTCTTGTCCGTACAGGATCAGTTTGGCCCAAAACCTGTCTTGTCCGTACAGGATCAGTTTGGCCCAAAACCTGCAATTTCATTTCTTAGTTTTTTATCAAAATCATCTTTTAGTCTTTCTAAAATAATCATATTAAAAATTTTTGTAGGAACTGACAGCAATGTAATTCCTTTATAGTTTTCACACTCCCGTTTTCACAAGATATCCCTCTCTCCAGTCTGCGGGTATTTCTTCAGTCTCTCACACTTTACTAAAAAAAGGTATGTAGCTAATTAGTTAGAGTTAGATTATCTTCACAGCACTCCATACACACCCATAGGCGCTCAGATTCCCCTCTCAACATATTCATCAGCGTCGTGCGGTTAAAAGTGCCAGTCCTATGTTGGTTAACAAGACTTCGTGTGCGTCCAGAGTGCTTCTTATGCTTGGCTGTGCCGATCTTTACTCCCTATTCGCGTATTCTTAGCAGTGATGTCGACACGTTGCTTCCAGAACACTCAGAACGTCCTATCTCTCTAAGGGCAATGACAATATCTGCGTGATAAATTGGCCGGCCATCTTCAATTAATGCAGCACCTGCCAGTCTTTCAGCTCTTTCATTACCAACAACGCCTACATCCTATAGGGCGAATTTGAAGGCACACACAGGAGAGTTTTGTAAAGACTCAAACCCCCGTCTGAGTAACCAGCCTGCCTCGACCCACCGGATCATGCTCAAAGAATCACTCAGCACACACACACGGGAATAGTCCTGTGATTCTAGTCACATGAAAGCTTGTGTCACTGCCATCACCTCCGTCGTCCTGCTGCTGGTAGTCATGGAGACGGCACCGCTGGCTACTTGAAATGTTCTGCCTAAAGAGCGAGCTGTAAATGTCCATCACTTTTATGTCCTCGTATAACGGACCCATCTGTGAAGATCACCACATCTGTCTCATCTGATTGTCACTGATAAGCGTGCATACCTCGGCATTGACAGAAGCTGGATTCTGCTTCCGACAACTCCTATTGAACGTCACGACACAGGAGAATTTGAGATTGGGCGCTTAAGAGGCTGGTATCCACTTCTCACCTGGATGGATGTCTGTAAGGCTGCAAACCTGCATGATGTCACCCTCTGCCCTACCCAGCCATGATTTGCCCCTTTTAAGCCTCTTGTCCTTTTTCTTGAAGAGCATGTGATGCAAAGGGAGCTTCAGATCTGAGCTTATTTTGAGGTATGCACGAGCCCTCCAGATATTGATCCTGTAGTTCATGGTATGGAAGTCAAGAAGGTACCTTATTGCTACACAAGAGGTGTCTCCAGTGTATCCCATAATAATGCGCAATGCTTCAATTTGCACCTTGTCAAGTCTTTCGATCTGAGTATGGCTGACAGTGAGGAGGGCAAGAGCATATTCCTCCGGCTCCGACTATATAATAAATTGTGCCCCTCCCTGTCAAGATAAAATAATCCCATTTAAGGCACAAATGCGTTCTGGAATTACCGCTACATACTACTCATAACTCAGTTCATCGTGAGTATCTTTGCTGTCCTTGGCCAGAAATCAACAGTAGAACCGGACAGTGAGATGATGGTAAGCACTGAAACTTCTTCTTGTTTTTCTTCACATTCACCAGCTGCAAACTCTGACAGAAAATCTTGCCTGTTTGTCCATTTCTGGACTTTAGCCTTGTTCCAGAACTTGACTGCAAAACCCATTCCTAGGATCTGGTTCATTTGTATGCAGGTTGTTCGTTCTTAACCTCTTAGGCAAATGCACTCCGATTGCAAAGAAATTATCCATAATTATTGAATTTTGCAACATGCGTGTCGCTGGAGGTGGGGGCTGTGGGTCCTTTACCCCCTTTCCTCCTCTAAATAGGGCCCCGGAACCCACGTGGGGACAGCACTGAAATATAACAAGTTCTCAACTTTAGCTTTGTCATACCATTCAATACCTCCAACCTGACGATGTCGGATTTGTGTTGCACAAACCCAAACGCCTTCCCAAAGATAGTTGTCGGTTCAGCCATCTTCACGTGGATCAGGTTGGGGACGAGGGACTGGAGAAGCACCCAATAGGGCCCGTAGGGTGGGTCCGGTCCGTGAAACAGTATAGCGCAAGGTTGCTGTGGACATAGAAAAATGCTAACATCAAAGTAAGATCAAATAATTCCTGAAACTGATACAGCAGAGCAGAAATTATGTATTGCTCACATTATGCACAGTATTTATACGTATATATACTGCATTATTGTGTTTTATGTACAGTTCGCTGAAGCAATTTGAATGAAAAGACAGTTAACAAATATAATAGTCAGACCGTAACTTGATCGGAAATCTAGGATACCCTAACGTTACCATTGTATACATCAATCTGAACCTAACTGAGGAATGTGGGAATATCATACTAGCCTTTACTTTCATAGACATTTCCTAATAAGTCATGAGTTAAGAATCGACATCACATTCCCAAAAGTGATCCGACCCAATCTTCAGCAGCCAGCACAGAGCTCCAATAACGATAGTACCAGTAGCAGTTTGACTGTGTGTCAGTCTCGCCACTCTCCTGGGCGCTGAGCGTCGGCCAGATCCACTGGTGACTCCTCGCTGTACCATTGTCTTCGGACCGTGATCATCCATCGGTGTCTCCGCACTGTTTACTGGCTCCTAGCGGGACCTTACAACATCTAACTTTCCATGCTTCTATTTACCGGCTCCTAGCGGGACCTTACAACATCTAACTTGCCATGCTTCTGTTTACCGGCTCCTAGCGGGACCTTACAACATCTAGCTTGCCATGCTTCTGTTTACCGGCTCCTAGCGGGACCTTACAACATCTAACTTGCCATGCTTCTGTTTACCGGCTCCTAGCGGGACCTTACAACATCTAGCTTGCCATGCTTCTGTTTACCGGCTCCTAGCGGGACCTTTACAACATCTAACTTGCCATGCTTCTGTTTACCGGCTCCTAGCGGGACCTTACAACATCTAACTTTCCATGCTTCTATTTACCGGCTCCTAGCGGGACCTTACAACATCTAACTTGCCATGCTTCTGTTTACCGGCTCCTAGCGGGACCTTACAACATCTAGCTTGCCATGCTTCTGTTTACCGGCTCCTAGCGGGACCTTACAACATCTAGCTTGCCATGCTTCTGTTTACCGGCTCCTAGCGGGACCTTACAACATGTAGCTTGCTATGCTTCTGTTTACCGGCTCCTAGCGGGACCTTACAACATCTAGCTTGCCATGCTTCTGTTTACCGGCTCCTAGCGGGACCTTACAACATCTAGCTTGCCATGCTTCTGTTTACCGGCTCCTAGCGGGACCTTACAACATCTAGCTTGCCATGCTTCTGTTTACCGGCTCCTAGCGGGACCTTACAACATCTAGCTTGCCATGCTTCTGTTTACCGGCTCCTAGCGGGACCTTACAACATCTAGCTTGTCATGCTTCTGTTTACCGGCTCCTAGCGGGACCTTACAACATCTAACTTGTCATGCTTCTCTTTACCAGCTTCTAGCGGGACCTTACAACATCTAGCTTGTCATGCTTCTGTTTACGGCTCCTAGCGGGACCTTACAACATCTAGCTTGTCATGCTTCTGTTTACCGGCTCCTAGCGGGACCTTACAACATCTAGCTTGTCATGCTTCTGTTTACCGGCTCCTAGCGGGACCTTACAACATCTAGCTTGTCATGCTTCTGTTTACCGGCTCCTAGCGGGACCTTACAACATCTAGCTTGTCATGCTTCTGTTTACCGGCTCCTAGCGGGACCTTACAACATCTAGCTTGTCATGCTTCTGTTTACCGGCTCCTAGCGGGACCTTACAACATCTAGCTTGTCATGCTTCTGTTTACCGGCTCCTATCGGGACCTTACAACATCTAGCTTGCCATGCTTCTGTTTACCGGCTCCTAGCGGGACCTTACAACATCTAGCTTGCCATGCTTCTGTTTACCGGCTCCTAGCGGGACCTTACAACATCTAGCTTGTCATGCTTCTGTTTACCGGCTCCTAGCGGGACCTTACAACATCTAGCTTGTGATGCTTCTGTTTACCGGCTCCTAGCGGGACCTTACAACATCTAGCTTGCCATGCTTCTGTTTACCGGCTCCTAGCGGGACCTTACAACATCTAGCTTGCCATGCTTCTGTTTACCGGCTCCTAGCGGGACCTTACAACATCTAGCTTGCCATGCTTCTGTTTACCGGCTCCTAGCGGGACCTTACAACATCTAGCTTGCCATGCTTCTGTTTACCGGCTCCTAGCGGGACCTTACAACATCTAGCTTGCCATGCTTCTGTTTACCGGCTCCTAGCGGGACCTTACAACATCTAGCTTGTCATGCTTCTGTTTACCGGCTCCTAGCGGGACCTTACAACATCTAACTTGTCATGCTTCTCTTTACCGGCTTCTAGCGGGACCTTACAACATCTAGCTTGTCATGCTTCTGTTTACCGGCTCCTAGCGGGACCTTACAACATCTAGCTTGTCATGCTTCTGTTTACCGGCTCCTAGCGGGACCTTACAACATCTAGCTTGTCATGCTTCTGTTTACCGGCTCCTAGCGGGACCTTACAACATCTAGCTTGTCATGCTTCTGTTTACCGGCTCCTAGCGGGACCTTACAACATCTAGCTTGTCATGCTTCTGTTTACCGGCTCCTAGCGGGACCTTACAACATCTAGCTTGTCATGCTTCTGTTTACCGGCTCCTATCGGGACCTTACAACATCTAGCTTGCCATGCTTCTGTTTACCGGCTCCTAGCGGGACCTTACAACATCTAGCTTGCCATGCTTCTGTTTACCGGCTCCTAGCGGGACCTTACAACATCTAGCTTGTCATGCTTCTGTTTACCGGCTCCTAGCGGGACCTTACAACATCTAGCTTGTGATGCTTCTGTTTACCGGCTCCTAGCGGGACCTTACAACATCTAGCTTGCCATGCTTCTGTTTACCGGCTCCTAGCGGGACCTTACAACATCTAGCTTGCCATGCTTCTGTTTACCGGCTCCTAGCGGGACCTTACAACATCTAGCTTGCCATGCTTCTGTTTACCGGCTCCTAGCGGGACCTTACAACATCTAGCTTGTCATGCTTCTGTTTACCGGCTCCTAGCGGGACCTTACAACATCTAGCTTGTCATGCTTCTGTTTACCGGCTCCTAGCGGGACCTTACAACATCTAGCCTGTCGTGCTTCTGTTTACTGGCTCCTAACGGGACCTTACAACATCTAGCTTGCCATGCTTCTGTTTACCATCAAACGGTGCAGAACCAGCCAATCTATATATCTGTTAATTTCACAAAACGCGGGCATTCCCTGGAGAAAATATCCAAAGGACGCAAACTACCCAGGACCTTTGCAGCGATGTTCGCCACTCTGTACAGAATGCTACTCTGTACAGAACATACGTGTTTCCCTTCTCTCAACAGGCTCCGTTAATTAGTTGCCATCACGACCAGTGTGTGCAGCTGTTTTCAAGCTAGCGGAAAGCTGCAGTGACCGCCTCCACCCCCATTCTTAAACTAGATGTACTCATTATATGCTGTGCGAACCCTATGTGACACATTTTAGCACAGCATGATAATGATTATCAAGACGATATACTAAGTACGATTAAAATGGGCCCTTTGCTCTAAGAAGAGGCTTCGGCGTTCGTAAAGCAGAAATATCCGTTTCGATTTCGACAGCGTACGATATGGCTGTTGTCCTCTCGGCGTTTTTTTTTTTTTTTCGACAGTAATATGGAGAACCGACCTTTCATAGGGCAAATTACTAAAGGTAAAATTGCCTGATAAAAACCCATACAGCTGTTATTGTTTCTCGAACGTCCTAAAAAGGATATACTCGTACACCTATTCTGTTACCCCCTAAACAACTGGCCGTCTAGGTTTATTTACGCTGTTTGCAACGCCTAGATATGAACTTAGGACCATGTTGCCCTTCCCATCCCCTTGGACCATCCGTACATCCTATTTCCCCCTTTAAACCCTCCTCACGTATGAATGAAAGTCACTCTAGAAAGTTCACATTTAAATACTCTAGGATTTTCTGTTACCTGTGACAGGTGAATTCTACAGACATAAGATTTGAGGTAGCTCATTTTCTTCCCTGACCTGCGACACACAAAATGAGCAGGGATAAAACACCTGCATAACTTCTCTCCCCACGTCACCCCCCCCCCCCCACTCCTTTTTCTCTTGTTCCCCTATGGGACGATGTTTGCGTGAAGTTACGGCACAGGGAGATGGATTAAAGTGGTGAGTGGCTTTAGTTTTTAAAGTCGTAAAGTGGCATTTAGCATGCTGGATAGTGGTTTACAACTAGGCTGTGATATCTACGCTATTGGAGCCAAACCATCCCGTTTCTGTCAAATAAAATTTTCATGTGTCAAATTGTGTGGGTCTATTGTGGTGTGTTTTGCTGTGTCTATATATGGCTCAGGGACCCACAGGGAGGAAATCACTATTACTGTCCTATGTAGTTGGTATGAAAAAAGAAATTTTAGCTTGTCTTTCAGAAATAAAATAGGGGCTTTTGAGCTGAAATGCTATAGACAGATTCTCTGAATACCATTGACAAAGAAGAGAAGAAACATTAACATTTTAAAAGATCTGAACATCAAGGAAGATTTGCTAATAAACAGCATCCTGTATCGGAAGCTGAAAATTTTGGTCATGCCAAGCGCCATGGCAGATTGGAAACAATAATAGCATAAAGCCTGTTACCAGGAAGGAGGGGCAGGGGCCGACTAACAGGAAGATGGGCTTAGGATATAAGTGACTCCTTGAATATGAAAGTACATGAGCCGGGAGAGCTGGCGCCAGACAATGTTTCTTTCAGGCAGACTGTGATGAGAGCGACGTTCTGCATAGGACCTGCAACATGATGATGATAATTTGGTAAACTTATCCATTCTTGACCCGACTGCATCCTCTGAAAGTTAAAATTAGTTGCGTATTTATCGCAAATATATATATTTGTGATTTCACTAGGTAATTTTATGTTTAGTACTTTGCCACTGAGCCTGAACGGTCGGCTCTCTGCAAGATATTCAACTCTAAGGGGTCAACGTAGCGGTCTTCTAATCAGGGTGCAATTTGTACTATTAGCATGTCGACTTTTCGTTGGCTACAGAATAATGCGACTGAGCCCGTGTGGGAATGACCGAGTGCATCGATGTCAATTCTTGACTAATTTATTCATTCATTCATTCCTTGATCTCTGGTTTACAACTGACAACAAACTAAGTTCTCGTCTTTTCTCACTCGTCGCTTCGGCTTTGTGTATTCCGTACCGCAGGTAACCTTGTCCAGACTTTCTTTAAAGTTTGTAATAAACCCTAAGCTGCAGTTCAAAACCAGGAAACCTTGACAAGGAGCCAAGAATTGTCACACCTGTCCACACCTGTCCACACCTGTCCACACATGTCCACACCTGTCCACACCCACACATGTCCACACATGTCCACACCTGTCCACACCTGTCCACACCTGTCCACACATGTCCACACCTGTCCACACCTGTCCACACCTGTCCACACATGTCAGGCCTAAGCTCCCCGATGTCCATGCTCATGACAAATACACAGCTGCATCGCCAGAACAACGTCTTTGAGAAATATTCCCAAATGTATTTAAACCCAGACCGCTCTCTGAGTATGGTTATCTCTAACCCCCATCTCGTCTCGATCTGTTAGGGCTAGCTGTTCGTATCGTTCGTTACTCGATCTGTATATGTTGAATGCGATCAGGGCTGATACAATACAAAACCGCGTCATTTAAAAATTTCAACAAACGCCAAAACTGGCTGAGATTCAGCTATTCTAAGCAAGGCCTTTCTCAGCTGAGTAACTGTTTAATTCGAATCAATAGGTTGTGAATATATTTCGCACGGTTTGTTTATTTCAAAGAATAAAGCACTTAAATTGAAATGTTAAAAATACGAAGCAGGAATATGGTTTGACAAGTGAAAAAAAAAATAAAGTAAAATTTGAGATGTGTGCATATGGCAATTGAAAAAGTAGGAATAGTGTTACCAAGGAAAAAATTAAATAATTTTGTTGAATTATAAATGTAAAACTGAGCATTATTATTACTATTTTTATTATCATTATTATTATCATCATCGTTATTGTTCGCTGTTAAGTCCGATTTTATGACAACAACATGTTGATTCATTGCTCACTAACTGTACAAAATTTGACATGAAAAAAAACACCTCAAAAACTGAAATAATGACCATAGGAAAGAAACACAGTAATGTAAACATAAAGATCAATGACATACAGTTAGAACAAGTTCAAGAATTCAAGTATTTAGGATGCATATTTACAGAAGATGGAAGACTCGATAAAGAGATACAGGCTAGAGTTCAAAAAGCCAATGCAGTCAACTACCAACTGGCCCCACTTCTTCGTCATCCAAAGATCTCGTCACCAGCCAAACAACAGATGATCAACAGCATTTTCATCCCTACGTTATGTTATCAGTGCCTAACGTGGACAATGAACAAATCACATATGCAAAAAATAACTACGTGTGAAATGCGATGTCTCCGAAGAGTCACCAACAATACACGAAGAGACAGAGTCACAAACGTCAGCATTAGAGACAAAGTTGGAACAAGAGCGTGCATAGAACATATTGAAAGACAGAGAATGAAGTGGTTTGGCCATTTAGTAAGAATGCAACCGGATCAGATTGCCTATAAGGCCTTTTACAGTAGAAATCGGGAAGAAAAGCCAGAGGAAGATCCAGGAAAAAATGGATAGATGGAGTAGCTGAATACGGCCAGAAGATCCAGAAAACTGTCACTCAAATCACGCGAGAGGCACAAAACAAATATTTTAAACCACGACACTGGGCTGGAACCCGGTAAAAGTTAAGAAGACAATAGATAGATAGAGATATTATTTGTAGGTGAACTTTGAGATCACCCTTGAAAAATTAGAACGGGTATTATATGTGTTTAAACAGAAATTAACTAGAGAGAGAACTTGTTAAATGAATCAGAAACGGACAAACCAGACCAGACAATACCATTTAGCTTGTCTTAAGATGTAAAAAAAAAAAAAAAATAAACTGAAATACTTTAAACAACAGCAAAGTCAGAGGGGAAGAGAGAACCGTAGAGATTGAGAATTTTTTTTGTGGATTGGTGTCAATGATTAGTTAGGCTCCAAACAGATGAGTAGGTGCTCCTATCTTCCACTCAAAAGATCCAAAGGAGCAAAACGACAGATAACATAACATAACGGCAGAGACTTTAGAGCATGAAAGTCGTACGTAAAAAGAAGATTCTGCACATTTTCTGGCAACATCATACATTTATTACAAAAAGAATTCAAATAAAAACCTTCAAATGTGTTATGGAAATTACAATAAGCATGGCATTGTCTTGTAACCAGTCAACAATATTGTCTGAAGGATATCAAGAGTGTTACAAACGTAGCATTAGGGTACAGATGAACACGGTGAACTCATAATATCAATTTAAAAGAGGGCTACCGATATTTTTAATCTGCGCCAAAGAAAAACAGCGTTCTCTTATCCGGTTGTTGTTTTCATAGACAGTGAAAGGGTCAACAACAACAACAACAACAACAAAATCCATCGCGAATGACTGTCGAGTACGGCAATGCACGCCTGTCAGCCCAGCAAGTTTATAGGCAGAGTAAGCAGTTTCAAAACGATGTGACACAAGGGTTATTACTCTTGCGCCTGACCCGGTCGTGATAATCTGTCAAATAAGTCACTCCATATATAATCAGATCATCTGTCCGTTCGATGCTTCAAACACACGCACGACCTTGCTTAAAAACAGTTAAACAAGGAGTTCACAAACTTTCGTTAACAACAACAACAATTAATTACCTGAAATCGAACAGCGCTGAGAACGCTGATAAAACTCTCCGCTTTAAAGACTCGACGTCCAAAGGAAACATAATGTACAACATTTGGCACCACCTGCTTCTTCCGAGTGTAGCAGTTTGTGGAGACAAAACTCTTTAAACACTCTAAGTTATCATTCCAGTTCAAACTGAAAACTCCAACACTTTTATTGGCTACGTCTGTTACGACAACGGCTTGCGATTGGTTACAGCGTATCTGCAGACGTTCTCTAGTTTCGCTGACGTTTTTAGCCAGATTTTCAATGCTTCTAAAACAACGAGGGAGGTAAAAGATGACTCTTGACTTATTGAATGGTTCTGATGTGTTGTTGTGACTTCTGTTTGATACTGTGAGATAAAAACAAAATCCCATTGTTAAAAAAAAATCATATACCATACAAAATCTCCTAAAAAATATTTGCTATTGGTTGCAAACATTCCTTTAAAGAAAAAAAAAACGTCATACTGATAAATGCAATCCAGTGGTTGATTTAATGATGCTGAAGGAAAAGGGAACAAAGGGAGAAAAAGTTAAGTACTTTTTTAACTAAATTTAGGTACTAGATCCATGATATCGAAGTGACTGCACAGGATAGAGCGGAATGGAGGAAACGACTGGGGTCACTATGTGACATATAATGACTTAACAGGACAGTGAATGAATGAATGAATGAATGAATGAAATGATTGAATGAATGAATACATGAATGAATACATGAATGAATGGAGAAAAAAATGAATGAACGAAGCACGCTCCCGCTGCCCGGATCATTGGGTTTATTCTCATTAGCTGCCCAAGACATTTCAGTCTTCCTTTTTTTAAACAGATTTAACTATGGTTATTGTTCTGTTAAACAGATTTAACTATGGGTATTGATGGAGGTTAGAGTTGCTTGAAAACGATGCAAAAATAGAGCTCGGCTTAGAAGCGTACAAAACTCTGAAGACGCACTGGTTATGACAGAACACACGGCTGGGTAACTGGCTAGAAAAAAGAGTCTTGCAAGCCTGCCTTGACGAGAGCGACCTTCTATAAACGAACTGCTGACTGATGATCATGATGATCAAGATATCCAAGGTACGTTCAACTTGGGTGGGAAGTCTACTTACCTCCACATTCTTTTTCTTGACTCCGGTGTGGACTTCTAAGAATTTCCCCTAATCTCTGGGTAGTAAGACAGGACGCCCGTGTGTATTGTTGCGCACTTTAAAAAAAAAAAACCTTGGCAGTTGGAAGCCTAAAAAGAGTATCCTAACGGCGCTGCTCTGAGATTCTTCAGACTTAGGTTTGAGTTAGAATGGAGCACTAATGGGTTACATCCGTGTGCCATGTCTAAACCATAAACGTTTCTTGACTGATGATGATGATTGCTGCAATAGTTCGTCTTAACTCTTCATTTCTCACACTTTATTTTCTGGTTGTGTTCACATTCTTCCTCATTATTCAATTTCACGGACAATTATTTTTCTGTCGAGCTCTTTGACTAGTGTCCAAGTTTGACCCTGATAACCTGAGGCTGGAATAAAGATTACGTTTAAAATAATTTGTCCTTTGATCTCTTGTTGGAATAGTAGGGTGTTGCAAGATTGGATAAGATGATACGCAACAGTGTTGGCTTGATATTATTCCCATTTTATTTTTAATGTCTTCAGCTTCTTTTTGTCCTTTCTGCCTATCCTTGAAATCAGCGGCTTTTCTTCATGTCATCTCATATATGAAGGGTTGATCGACACCAAGTGTGACACTGATAACGAAGTGTTGGAAGAAGAAAAAACAGGCTGTTATCATTTCAAAGCGATGTTTTCCTATTGTGCATTTGAATAGCCAAGATACAAACATATATATTGTACTATCTATTGCCTTGAATATTTCGCCGTATCTCTTTAGATGCACACATACATTTACAGCATGTTCGGGAAGCCGTGAAATGATAGTGCTTAGATGCTAGCCTGCAGACCCGACGGGCTTAGGTTCGAATTTATCCAGTGGGTTTTAATTTTTTTCCTAAATTAACTGTTACTTTAAATTAGGGGTGGGCAAACTAAGGTCCTCGGACCAACACAGGCCCCGCCCGCCGAGCAATTTTTACTGGTTCGCGAGGTGGGGTAAAATTACTAAATAATCTGGCTCCTGGGATTTAAAAGAAATATGAGAACATAAAACATATGTTTATATGCAGAAAACATTCTTTAAAAAATTAACATTAAAAAAAAGTGAAAACCTTAATAGTGATAAGCAGAAACGGATGTGGCCAAATCTTTGACCCTGCCAGTGAAACACCTGATGCGGACAGTGACTAGAATACAGTATTTGATAGCCCTCGTGGTGTAGCGGCTGGCCTGTGGGTCGGAAGGTCGAGGGTTCAGGACCTAGGGAAACATGACTTTTTTTTTTTTTTTAAATGACCTACCCTCCCAGGTGGACACAGCTTTGAGTGAGTACCAGGTACAGTCCTGGGAGGTAAAATCGACCGGCGTGATGCTGACAACATCACCCACTCAGTGTCGATTGGTTTATAAAATATAGGACTAGCCCTATAAGCCCGGCACGCCTGAGTGCGTGCAAAGGGGACCTATACTTTGCTTAACTAGAAGACAGTATATGACTGGCCACTAGTAATTCTAAAAATTAACTACGGACCAGACAGTTTGCCCACCCCTGCTTTAAACTCTTCCATTGCAAGCAGATGGGCTTGAAAAACAGATCATTCTGACAGACTAGTAAAGTAAAGGACCTTTTAAGGCGTTAAGGCATGTCGGGCATATGGTGCTAGTCCTACATTTGACAGACCAACCGACAAGCGGTGAGTGATATGGTCAACATAACGCTGGCTTTTCTTCCCAGGACTTTTACCTTCACGATATATCGAGATCGGAGAAAAAGTCAGTTTTTCCGTAAATTCCGACTACACTCGGATTTGAACCACTACCTTTGGATTCACAATGGAGGGTCTAACTGCTATACCCCGACCGAACCCTATTTACGAGTACGAGGGAGTTAAACGAAGCAAAATAAATCAGAAGTGCAGAAGTGTTGAACCTAATAATACAAATACAAAAGGTCAAATATGGACTATCTTTGACAGAAGAGAACACTACAGTCAGTTCCAAAAATGTGCCCTCAAACATTAAAAATATCTCCAAAACTCCTGTATGGATCAACACGAGTGTTTGCATGTGAGTTCAAATTTCCCACGTCTTTATGATTTCAAAATTTAAAATTGCGCAGGTGCTGCTGTTTTCTTACAGCGGCTAATTTCTCTCAACTTTTTCGAACTAATAATGTGTGTACTCCTTAAGAAAATAAACAAAGCCGACACAAATCGTGACTTTTGTATGTGCCAGTCAACAAATATTATGGTAGTACATGACGTAGTCACTTCACTATTCAAAGTACTTTTCAGTTTCACACACGGATTACCTCCAAAACTTGTGAACATACTTAAATACTTTTAATCGATGTGTGTGTGTGTTTGTGTGTATCTGTGTGTGTGTGTGTGTGTGTGTGTTTTGTATGCAACAAATGGAGCAAAATACTAGATGTTTGTTTACAATATATCTTTTCCCTACGAGGACGTGATTATTAGCAGTTTACATGCCGGATTGCAACAATTTACAACTCACGGTTGCAGTTGCAGTTTTTTTTTTTTCTAGTTGGGCGTGAATTTTGGAACGAACTATAATATTACATTATGATTAAAATGAAATATGATACGAGAAACGTTCAGTGCGTTGTTTCCATCTAAAAGAGTTACCATTGTCTTACAGGTCGATTCAGCATAAAGTAGGTACTAGATAATGTGCCGGGTCCCCTGTGGATATCTAGGTCCAACTTAGCGAAAGTAGAGGAGGGTGAGGGAAGTAGACTCACTTTTCCTCTCAATAGTATGTCGTAAAAGCCGACTGCCAACTGTCAGTTAATGGCTGTATTTACTACTTTCGCGGTACATGCAGGGGAGTTTTGAGCATGGGGGAATTAGGGCCGCCCTGCTAGTGCTATCGACATGCATCGTGTAGCTTAGTAAGTAAAGTAAAGTAAAGATCCCTTTTCACGCCTTGCGGCGCATCGGGCATATGGACAGAGCGTCCCATATTTTTACAGACCATCAGCATTCGGTGGGTAATGTGGTCAGCATTACGCCGGCTGTCTTTACTTTCCCAGGACAGCCCATCCTGGTACCCATTTTAGGCTGGGTCGACCTGCGACGTCCCATACCACGACACAAATCCACGCAGCCTGCAGTGGGTTTCGATCGCGGTATGCTGGCTTACGAGTCGGACTCGCAACGCCTTAGCCACGGTCGCCGCATCGTGTAGCTTAGCATTATATTTTTACCCTAACATAAAGATTTCAAAGATCCCTAACCTTACCGGGGATTCGAACCTAGTTCTTCTTAATGAGAGCCCAGGGTCCTTAGCCGCTCGGCCAGCCTCTTCTCAAAAGGCGACTAATTAGTGGTTTGTTGAAATCCGAGTTATTGTGCCGAAAGGTATAGATACCGCAGCTTGGCTGTAAACTACAATGTGACGTTTCGACCTCCTGTTTAAAGACAAACATAAAAGAAGAATGTTGTGGAAAGTAAAGGCGATTGGCGAGATGTTGACCACAATACTAATTGAGTGCTGAATCGCCTACTAAATTCCTGTATGGAACGTTACATTTCACAGTTCCAGCCACACGATCTTCGGCTTTTGTATGCATGATATGCGTTTGAGTTACGAAGCTGCATATAAAGTGCTGACCCTGTATTATGAATATTTTCGCGCAAAGTAAAGCAAGAAGATTATCGCCGTTTTTAAAAGAATAGGTCAAGCTTCAGTTGAAACAGTTTAGCTAATAAGTAATTGGAATTATTTCCTTTTATGTTGTTATTAAGTTTTTATATAAATATTCTTTTTTTTTTTTTTAATGCAATATTAAAACGGTGAATGAATATTTACTGAAGCAGCACCTCTGCTTTAGCCGCCTTTCAACATTCCTCGGTGTTCATTCCACTGTGCATTTCGCCACTGAAGTATATTTGTATGTCACTGATTCATGATAGCTTGTCTGTAAACTTGTTTATCAAGCGTATGTTCTTAACACTCTTCTTTACGACAGTGAAACTTTAGCGGCTTATTCGTATCAGGAGAAACGGCTAAATAATTTTCCTATGCGATGTCTCAAAAAAAAATAATAATGATAAAAACGGGAGTGAGTGCCGTCATGCTAAAACCAAGAAATGAATCCACTGAACTGTGATTAAGAAGCTTACTAAAGAAGGAAATGGGATCAACGTATACAAGCAGGAACAATCGGATGTTTTATCCGGAGCCTTTCTCGACATAAACTACAACAGCAATAATCCACACACCTGAAAGTTGAGAGGTTAATAACAGTAAAATATAGGAATTTGGTGTGGAAGAAATAAAACAAATTAC